CCCCCCCCCCNCCCCCCCCCCCCCCGCACACAATTCTCCATCGTTTGCGTATCGTAACTTCCACACCCTTTTTATATGGGATTCAAAAAGGGAAACCTGCCAATGCCCATTTCTTCCCTCCTCCTATTTTGCGCATTCTGAGCCACCATTTTTGATCCTGCGATTTCAAAAAGCCCACTTCGTGTAAGGATCGGATCGTTTGGGGGTGTGAGAGCGATGGATGTTCGACTTCCGATTGTTATTGTGGATGCAAAATTTTCTGGGTACCTTTCTTTTTCCTCCTTCCTCTTCACAGTTCTTGAAATTTAATCCCTGTTGTATTGATTTTGGTGGTAGAATTCTCCACCTCCTTTCATGCATTCATTCCTTTCCCTCCCAGATTTTCCTCTGCTGCCTCTGTTTTTGTGTTGTAAATTTGAATTTTGATTTCTCCTTTTATCTCCTTGGCTGGATTTGCTGAATGTAGTCATCTCTATCTGAAAACAGATTTCACTGGTTTTCCAGTTGCAACCAGGACAACTTCTCGTCAGATGCTTTCATGATCACTTCAAACTAAATCAGTTTCTGAGGATCCTTATGAAATCATGGAGCATCCTTATGAAACACAAGTAAATGGGGAAGCAGCTGATCATGATTTCCAGATCTGTGGATACTCTTCTTATCCATTATCTAACATTACAATGCCATCGCCCTTGTTTGATTTAAGAGTCTTCTATGTCAGGTTCAGTAATTTCCGGGTGGATGATTTGACCCCCGAGTTTCTCACTCTCAACCATATCCCTCTAACTCCAAACACCCATTTGGACGTCAACGGTGTTAGAAACAGTAATTTCTCAGGCTTTTCTTCTCTTCTCAGAAGAGATAGGGTCAACAAGAACTCTGAAGAAGCAACATTTGTGAGCACTGATACCATTAGGCTAATGGGGAGTTTGAAGTTTGAGGTTTTCAATGGAGATTATCAAATTCTAGCTGGGGAATTGTCTCACCATGTGTGCACTGGAGACTCAAACACCATTTCTTCTAAGAAAAAATGGAGCATGAACTGTGAATCTGGGGTTGTTGCTGATGCTGCATTCTTGAAGGGAAAGCTCATTGCAGGACAGCAATTGATCAGTCCAAAAATTGAAGTATACATTGCTGGTAGCTTTTCTGGAAACCCCGTTGTCTTAACGAAAACTCTGCAACTCGGGGTTCGAAAGAAACATGGCCAAAAACGCATGTTGGATGCAATACCAGAGTATGATACCTCTGAATGCCACAAAGATTCATATCCCCTATATGATTCACAAGTAAGGTTCTTGTTATAGTCTTTATTCCTTTTACGTCTAGATCGATCGGAATAACTTGTCAAGAAAGTTCTATTACTCCATTGTTTGCTGCACTGCAACCTACTCTTGAAGATCTAAACTGTTACCATTTTGTTGCTCGGCCAGACCTTAGACCTTAGAATCTTATCCAAGACACATGAATCAATGAAAGAAGTATGGGTAGGGATGGTTCTGATTCCATCACCATCACCTTGGTCCTTAGTTCTGACCCATTTTTCTAAGTGTCCTATCAGGATTTATCTATCAGAACCAGGCCATCTGATGGACATGGCCTCCCACTCCTAGGAGGACATGTTGAGGATTGTGCTTAATGGGGTCCCCCCCACTCTTCCTGGAGTTTCTATGGCTATCCTTGATACTTCACCCACTCTTTCCTGTCATTTCTTCTCACAATGTAGCATAATTGAACATAACTAGTCTTACTATACAAATCAAGTCACTGTCAAACTAGCAGGGAGAATGGGTTGCTCTCTGCAATTGTTTCCAGTCTTTCTTGCTGCCTGGACTGCTGCTTCCTAAGCCAGTGCTTTATAACATTGTCTACTCTATGTTTGTGCAGGTTTCGGAGCACAGACATTATAGACAAGAAACTGAAGATGACTATGCTAACATGTATTGGAGAACAGACAACATGGAAAGAGAAGATGGTGAACTATCCTGGTTCAACTCGGGCGTGAGGGTTGGTGTAGGAATCGGACTTGGTATCTGCTTGGGAATTGGTGTAGGAGTTGGCTTGCTCGTGCGCACTTACCAGGCAACTAGTCGAACTCTAAGAAGGCAGATTATATGACATGATTTCTCTTACTAATCTTTCATTGGAGTCCTTGTCTTAACTTTGAGATTCAGAAAGCCGACAGCAATGGTTTGTGTCAATAATATCCATCTCTGACAGCAGAATTTGTGTCCTAGCATGTTTGTTTCACACAACATGTGTATAGAAGCTCAGCTAAGCTAATATCATTTCTTTATCAAATGACTGCACATTACTCGTTGTCTTCTTGTGAATAATCTGTTTCTGAGATGTGATAGAAAGGAAGACTGTTTTTTGAGATGGGTTAGATCTCTACCAGTCAATCAAATTGACCAATCTTTTACAGGATAATCAAAGTGGTCTAACCAAAGTTGCAATGACCAACGAAAACAGAACGATCAGTGAAGTTATAAAGGGTTCTTTTCCCTGTATATCTTCCTCTATAGACTATGAAAAGTTCGTAAATGAAACTCATTTAAGGGGCTTGGCTGCAACTACAAGTGACAACCCCTGTAACTGATAGGGGCTGATGGCTTAGCTCGCCGGTTGTTGCAAAGAACACTCACTCACTCTGGAGCCACCGCTGCACTGGTGTAGCCATTGACGACGTGGTGTTGCTTTTCACCAGGTTCCCAGAAGGCAGCACATTTAACATCATCCTGAATCATTAATCTAGAGTACTCCTCATGGACATATTCCAGTTGAGCTTTTCCTCCAAACTCTGATGGAAGATTCTCCTCATCAAAATATGACTTCATGAGTTCCACACTCTCTTGCTTCTTAGGATACACAAATCTCACTTTCTGAAATGTTTTGGGATCTAAAAAGTATTTGACTACCTACAAGTAATAAACAAAATTACAAGAGGGTTTAAATGCTCATCGTTCAAATTTTGCTAGAAGAATGATCTGCGCCTTGTTTTATTGGGGTCCATACCATATGGAATGAAGAGATGTTGCAAGATCTAAGAGAGAGCATAAACCATACCTTCCAGAACGCTTCAAATATCCTTGGGGGATTATATAGAAACGCTAGAGCTAGTCGCTCGGGATAGTGGTTCTGCAAGATGTTGACGGTCTCTCGTGCAGATTTGATTGGCACGCTGGTGCTAAGAGACCAACCATTAAAATCAATCAACCATGACATCTGTTCTTGACCTTCCGGAAGGTTGAGAAGAGCATTCTCCATAAGATATACCAAATGCCGAATTTGATTCTCTAATGATGTTGTGTTCTGTTAAAAAAGAAACAGTTCTGGGCTTTTAACACACATTATTCTGAAATTGCTAAGAACTTGGATGCAAAATTTACACTACTAAAAAATACCTGCTTTCCTGGCTTCATTATGAGGACAGTTCTTCCTTCTCGGTCATGAAAACTTGCTCGATAAAGTTTTCCGGTCTCACTTTCAAATGCTATTTCAGGCTAAATGTAAGACAAAGTAAAATGATCAGCTTAAAGGCAACATAAAACTCCATTACTACTTTTCAACTCTTCACCTCTAGCTTCCATAGACATCAAGCTTTATGAAACTATTACATGCTTACCCAACGAATTTCATCAGGCTTATACATAGATCTCCATTTGAATGTCTCCTCCAACATTTTCTTTGCTTTGTCTACATTCCAATTCCTAGCCACTAGATATCTTTTCAAGCATGCATCACTGCAATATATTGCATTGCGTCCAACTAAGGGTCCTAACTTGGCCTTAAGCTCATTGACCTGCAAAATCGTAAAAAACTTATACTCAATTGTCTTCAAACCTGGTATAGAACACATGATCCAGAAAAATCTTCAAGATGGTTTAGATCGAATCAAGCCCAAACAAGTTCAAAATTTCTAAATACATGGATCTGGGAGCCAGGAACCTGCATGCACAATTTTCTTTGACCATCAACTCATCATACCTTCGATGTGATCTGTTCTTGACTGTTCCCTTCCTCGTGATGAGAAGTAGACCACCGACCAAACATTATAGCTGTGCAATCACGAACCTGTTACATTCAAACTAACAGAAATTCTCCGTTTCTTACATGAAAAAGAATAGTTTACTGCTTGATACGAACTTACTAGAAGGATCCGGACAGAAGTCTTCGCTGGCAAAAACAAGGTTAATTTGCCGGCAGAAGACTTCCAAAGCAGAAGGAGAAATCACCACAAAAAATCTCCAGTAGATTCCAAATTTCTAGGGCTTAACAGAAAGGCAAGCACATTTTGAACATCAAAATTCAAGGCAACAATCAAACAGTAACAAATCTCAGATTCCTAATCAATGACAGGACATTGCACTAGAAGATCGAAAACTCAAGAGAATTGCAGCGATTTAAACAGCTCGAGAAAGATGCTTACGCAAGTTAATTGTGCCAGATCGGAAACAAGCTCTCAGTCTTCTTCCTCGCAAAGTCGCAACTCCGTGTAGCAGTTAATTCCACGATACGACGACAGTCCCTCCAAAGAGTTCGAAAAGGCGGAAGGTCCTTGATCTTCTCTCAAATATAAAATAGTTTTAGGTCAGCGTCAGTGTTCGTCACAGCTATTTCACTGATGATCGGCCATAGAATATGAAACAAGTGCTGTATGTGGATATTCGCTATCGCCACCGCCGGTGCACGCTCGGAAAGGAATCAACGGCCAAGAACACGCCACGTGTAGCACTCTCGAACTAAACTCAAGAAACGTGGATGTTTCGTCCACTCCTACGAGTCTATGCCATAGGCTTTCAGATATGATTATTAAACATAAAATTATTATAGAAGAAAATTACCGCTTTAGACAAGTTGTCATTAATGCCTAGATCATTTAGGATCTTTATGTTCTTACTAATTTATTTATCTATTTCTAATAAATAAATAATATTAAAGAACATTTAAAGGATTTTAAAATGCAACTTATTTAATGTTTTTGGCAAAAGAAAAAATAGAATAAAAGAGGAAGTTATTTTATTCCCAAAAGATGTGTTTACAAGAGGGAGCCCCTACCTTATAATTACCTTAGGTTAGGGCTGTGGGAAGTAGGAATTCCTTACATCAATTACAATCTATAAAGTATAAAATGACGTAAAGTACAAAACTAAGCTAGTCCCTACTAATTGAATGTGCTAGCTGTGAGGACTCTTAATCACATGGATAGTTCAATGTGTTCATCAGGACTTTGAGATGTGGATCATTCAAGACACACTAGCATGACATACTTCTCCAAACTTCTTCTCAAGAGGGTAGATAGATAGATTCAGGTGAGACCTAATATGAATTAAAGTTTCGCTAATTACATTTAATCCCCTATCTAGCCATATGCATTACAATTACTCCTCTACTGGCCTAGCAGTGGCCTGAGCCATCCTCCTTTTGCAAGAACTCACCATGATGAATGTTTCTAGGAAGCTGCAGTTCAGAGAGCCAAGAAAGCGGCTACGCTGTCTCACTTGAGAAATTCAGAGTAAAGTCTGTTTGGAGCTTAGAGTTTATATACAAAATCAAAGACCATCCGAAATAAAAGGCCATTTCAAATCATACAGTGGAACGCATAAACACATATACAGATCAAACATAGATAAAGAAATGGATCAAATTGCATATAATTTGTAGAACAGATGACAAGTAGACGTTAGATATGATTCTTCCATAATGAAAGTTGCGGAATTTAGCTAAAGATGTAGTTTGGCAATGCTTGGCAGTGAGAAACGCAATCGTGCATATAGAAATGGCATGATTTCAAATTTGCCATATTGACAGCTCGAGATGGGTCGATGCAATTAGACCATAACGACTTTAGAAAATGGATATAATTCGAAATTCGTACCTCGAGGAGGGTGGAATCTCACCGTCGATTTAGTTTTTGCTGCGCACACGGTTCTTTGTAATAGGGGACGTGCAAAGACTGAGCAAAACTACAGAAAGAACTGAAGAAAGAGAGACAGGGAGAGAGGGAGAGGAGGGGGGGGAGAGAGAGAGAGAGATTGGGAGAGGGGAGCCGGATAAAAGGGCACCGTGCCATCCCCTCCCCCGAACACTCGAAAATGGAACTTTTTATTGAAGCACTTTGACCTGCCAAGCAAGCGCACCTGTCATGGCAAAGGTCGACGACACAATGGCAACAAAGCTTCAAATATATACCTTTTCACGGCTTCCAATGGCCTACCATTGGGAAGCCCTTCAAGATACATATATTTACCATTGACACTAAATAATCACATTCTCATATAATCTACTCCCAGATGTTGGGACTCCAAACCTTTGAAGCCAAATTAATGGTGTGGATGCAGAATCTCAAACGAGGGGTTCAAGAAGTTCCCGCACACTTGACAAGAAGCCTGCAAAATGACATGCAAACTTAAATTTGGATATTCTGGGAATGGATAAAAATGGTAAAAAAAGATGATTTGGAAATATCATTCAAGAAACAAAACTCATAATCTGAGGGCGGAATCAGAAATGGCCATACCTGAATTGAAACTCCAAATTGTATATAAACTCCTATCATAGGAAATAGCTCTCCTAAGCCCGACCTTCGTAGAGAGGCTGTTGGCTTCAAATCGAATTCATAGCATTAAGTGGCCGATAATTGCGAGGCTTTTCCTGGTAGAACTCACTATGCAGTGAAGAAACCAATGGCATTTGATGATGGCGACCAATGAAACAAAAAGAACAATTGAAGCTGCTAGGAAGGAGGAGTTACCGCGATCTTGGTGATTCAAGAACTTCAGGGGGCGGTCAAGAAAATTCAACACATCTACCCTTGATCAAGGCATTTCTTTAGATATAGACTTTGTTTTGTTGTTGTTGTTTTTTTTTTTTTTTTTTCTCTCTCTCTTTTCGGATGGCAAATCTTTTTCAGAACCATGTGAATCAAAGCCACCTTTGAATTGAAATCGAGATACTAATCCAGATTCTCGTAATTTCGAAACCGTAACAAACATTGGCATTGTCAAGCTGATATTCCTTCTCTTTTCTCGTAGAACTTAGCTCTGATAAATATGATAGGAACAACTCTATCTCCGGGCACTACAGCTCGAAATGGTCAATAACGCAGATATTTTCTTCAGAAGTTATCAAAATTCTTCATCGAAGATTTACAAGCAGTTCATCAGACAGAGTTCAAAGATACGCCAGGTGACAACGATCCTATTTAACAGAATCGAGATCGATTTGGAGAATTTCAGAGAAAAACAATCCATGTGCCCAATAATGAAACTGATGATCTTAAACGTCCAGCAATAACGAAACAATAAATAACTAGAGCATAAATAGTTACCGTTCATAAATATTCATGGCGTCGGAATCTCTTCTCAAATACTAATCAAAATTCGTCCATATTTCATTTCAATTTGATTATGATTTATGAATAGTAATCAATCCAAAAAAGCAGTACCATCATAGAAACAGTAGAAAAAAGAATCGGTGGAGAAAAAAGATCCAGAAATAATACCTGAATACTGTAAAGCCCTAAGGCCAGATAACAGGTTGTTTATCAGATGAATCCACTCCAACCCTCGAGAGCTAAAGAACAGGTCGGAGATAAACCCTTATTCAATTCTATACCAATAGATTAATGGAAGAAAATATGAATAGAAAAGTTTTATTATAAATTATTCCTATAATGAATGGTTAGATTTCGAGTTTGATAGAGAAATTAGTTTACAGATCAACGGCTGTTATTCTATGTGTAACTGATAAGACAGATTGGATCTAAATAAATACAAACTCTCTTTCGTAATATTATTGAATAAAATATTTTATATTTTTTCTAGTAAATGGTTAATTCTTGATAAAAAAAAAAAAAAAAAAAAAATCTTATAAAAACAACTTTTACAAATTCATCCCAACCATCACAATAATTATATATATATATATATATAGTAGCCCTATGAAGCAAAAGTCCTGATTTACAACGACATGATTTACAACCATCACACACATAGAATGGAACGTGAACTTTACAACGACATGATTTTATTTACAAAGACACAGGAACAGAACTAATTTTATTTACAAAGACACAGACAACTGAAATTTGTTCATAAAATTTGTTTCGTAGATAAAATTATTGATTTTATAACTAATTTTATTTACAAAGACACAGAGAACGGAACAAGATACAGGGAACGTAATTTTGAACTTTTTTTTGTGTTCCGTAGTTGATTTTATTTACAAAGATACACATGGAACGAAACCAGAAATTTGAACTTTTTTTTTTTTTGTTCCGTAGATAAAATTATTGATATTATTTACAAAGGCATACACGAAACGGAATGGGAACTTTAAACAAGGAACGAAACGGTAACTTTGAACTTTTTTTTTTTTTGTTCCGTAAATAAAATTATTGATTTTATTTACAAAGACATAAGGAACGAAAAGGGTTACCTATTGACCAATCGGTTAACAGTCAACCGCTCTACAACTGAGCTACTGAGGAACCCGTCGTTCGCCCATATAAATTCCCCTCCTATTAAAATTATCACTAACCAACAGCATTCCCCACTTGTCCGACCCATACAGGGTATTCCGAAACTCTTTTGATAATACAACAAATGTTTCAACATCGAGCGGTAAAAGAAGAATATATGACTCGAGCACGCCATCATTCAAGAACGGAGATACTTATAAATGGAAGGGAATGAACAAGTGAATGAGAGAGTAGAAGGAGCATAAGGTGAAGAAAAGGAAAGAAAGCTGACACAGAAGGCTTGGACGAGAAGCCCTTCAATATCTTACCTGTTGCTTAAATTGTAATGAAAGTAAAATGCAACAGAGGCTTTCACGTCAACCTTTTAAAAGCCAAAATTTCAAACCTCCATTCATCTTTGGTTCAAAACACAACACACACTACCCATCTCACCCAACCATGAGAGAACCATGGCAACAACAATGAAAACGAATCACAGCAATCTTACAAATACACTCTCTCCTTTGGTAGATCAGAAGCTAGCTTGAGCTCCCAACCACATGGCTAAGAGATCAGATTTTGCTCAGAAGCTCTTAGATGATCTCAGGTTAAGGAAGCAGCGAATGGCCGCTGCGTCGCACTCCTTCGACCGTTCCAAAACCACAACCATCGGTTAGTAAACTCTTCTGACTTAGATTTCTTCTTTTGATATTCATCTAAAACCAAATGGATTACTGTGAGAACCCACGTCGATTGGGGAGGAGAACGAAACATTCTTTATAAGAGTGTGCAAATCTCCCTTTAGTAGACACGTTTTAAAAACCTTGAGGGGAAGCCTGATCTGTTAGCGGTGAGCTTGGACTGTTACAATCACATTCTGCCGATCGCTATCTGTTGATAATTTTGAAACAGATAACATGTTATTACAGAAGAATAATCACGCTTCAGAAAATTCAAGAACATATGAAGCTTTTCTCAAGAGAATTATTCTTTTTTTTTTTTTTTTTTTTCATGAATACAAGCAATACTAAAGCACAGCGAAAACACGGTTAACTTGCAAGAGAAGTTCAAAAGGAACAACACCAAAAAGGAGTTATTTCTCTCTTATGAAGTGCAGCACAACAGATCAATTTGATGCCATATTGCTTTTATAATTTGCATAATCATCAACATCACACAACGAGTTGAGTCATAAAAATTTCTCTTATAACTGTTATGAATCGCGACTCTCGGCCTCATACGAGATAGTGTTCCTTACTTATAAACCCACGATCTTCCTCTTAGTTAGAATAACATCTTACATGTAGCTTTGATATATCTCGAATGAGCTCTACATGTTGTTTGAGTGTTTTTTCTTTTCAGATGCATATGCTTACTCGAAACAAATTCATAGAGGATCGAAGAATGCTAGAACACACGGAATGGTACGCAGAACTCTACATAAAGGAGTTGGTTTACAATGCTTCCTTGTTTATCTTATACTGTTTCACGTATGATTCAATGCAACAGAGTGTTCCCAGTAATACAAGGTATGGTGGAGGGAATAAATCACCAATGACCAATGATACTTCAAATCAGATTGTTCCTTTCACTAGAGGCCGAAACACAGAACAAATAGGAGACTTATCCATGGCCTTAGCTTTTGCACTTGAAAATGGAGGAAAACTAAGAGGAAATACATCATCTGGAAACAATTTAACACTGGGCTTCCTGCAACAAATTGGTAGGAGTTCGTTCGAAATCGGGAAATCAAACAAAAGAGGCGGCCTGGACAGGAACCAAAATGCCAGTGGATATTTTCCAACCATCTCACATCTTCATATTAAGGAGATATCAAAAGGGGCACAGAAATTGAACCAGATCTTGACAACTTGCTCTAATGGAGATTTTGGGAGATGTTCCATAGAAATTGGACAGGAACTGTTGAAGGGAGCTATGAATTTGGAGGAGTCTTTGAGGATGCTTGTGAACTTGCATGAGGCCTCAGAGCACATGATCAGCCCACAACATAAGAATAGGATTGTGCTTTTAGAGAGTGAAGATGATACTGAAGAAAATAAAGATGATATCAAAGGGAATGGTCACGAACAGAAGCTAGCGACCCTGAGATACACAGAAGAGCAACCTCTAAATACTGTGAAATTTAGTTTCCATAGAAGAACAGCAAGCTGTGGTCATGATATCAAAACTTCAAACACACGTGAGAAGGTGGGGATTTCAAATGTAATTGCAAAACTAATGGGGCTAGATAATCTTTCAGACAATTCAAACTATGCACACCAGGACTCAGGTTCCAAGCGAAAGGTCACAGATCTGCAGCCAACAGCCAGGGGTATCGGCCTGGCCGAGTCAAGGACTAATATTAAAGAAAGTCGGTCCGGTTCCAAGATTCCAAGAACAGCCATGTCAGATAAAAATTCAGCTGTGGTGAACACCATATTTGATGCAAGTCTTCAAGCCATCACTTTTCGTGGAAAACCATCATGGAAAGACATGGAAGGAATAAGGCCACAAACTAGCCCATCAACACCAACCATCACAATATTTAGGCAACAACGAAACAAGAATGAGACGAGACAGGGAGTCTCGAGTCAGAAGGACGATCTGGAAGGACTTACAAAGCAGCTTCACGTAAAGCACAGGGAGAAAAAAGGCACAGATAGGGATGACTATAGAGAAGTATTAAAGAATGGAGTGCAGCCGAGGAACAACCGGGACGGTCGTATGAAGCCCCATCACCAAAAGAACAGGGAGCTAAGCACCACAGAAAGGGACCAAAAGAGAGGAGAGCTGAAAAAGGACAGGATGCAGCAGATGAAAAAACAAGAAAGAACACTTCCATTGGAAAAGAGACATCCAGACAACCTTAAACCAAGAATGCAGCAACAGCCGCCAAACAGTCCCAAATACCAGCAGCCACCAATGCTCACAGAGAAGAGAAATCAAAAGAATGGAAAATCAATGGTGCAGGAGAGAAACCAAAAGAGAAATGGGAACACGTTCAAGAGTTTAACAAAACCAGTCCATGACACTTTCACTTTTCCAAAGAAGCAGCAGGATATGAACCATGTCAGGCAAAGTAAGAAAAGCTGCAAAGAAACCATCATAGCTCACCACTCTTACGCCCTTCCTAACAATAGACGTCCTGAACATCCTTGCAGAGAAAACAACAGCTATGATTTAAATAACAAAACAAGTGAGATAACCCACATTAGCGTAGAACAAAGTGAGCCAGTTATGGAAGAGCAACATGCTAAGATACCTGTGAAGAATGATTTCAAATCTACAAAGATTCCTACAAATAATGAAGCAGATGCAAGAGAACAGCGAATTCCAATACTACAGGAGGTAGAACAAAACAATGATGCATTAAATCGACTGGACGTCGTCGGACCACATGGATCTAAAGAAGTGGAAGCTCATACCATTGAATCCAGAGAAACAATAGTATGCCTCCAGCCACTTAATAGTGCACAAGATGCACATGAAGAGACTGAGCGGGTTTTGGCACCGCCCAGCCCTGCTGAAGATGAATGCCATAGCTTGAAAGAGCCACAAATATCAGCTCCAAATGACAGTGTAAGTTTAACTCTTCTTGAGTTGTCAAATTTTATGTTCAATATATTCTAACTATCTGTTAACCCTTGCCTAATCTTATGCAGTGCCAGAAAACAATCTCAATTAGTACTAGCAATCAGCAAGATCAGAGGTCAGTTTTTGGCAGTGGTGTAATCAACGGCTCCCATATTGTGATAAATGCAGTAGAAGGTAAGCGAGACTTCAATTTCCCATCTTTATTCCATAAATATAAAGTAAGCCTATCTTCTTCTGTTCTAAATTCACTACATTTAATTCTTTATGGCACAGAAGCAGAGAAATACGACATTAACAAACTATATCCCCCACATTTGAAGCACCTACATAGTTGTTCCAAGTCAAGAAAACAAGAGACATTGACAGAAAGTGAAAACAAACTTAAGCAGACGCTTATAACGAGTGAATGGTTCCTGAATGCAGCAGAGGCACTTTTCAAACTCAACATCCCCAGCTTCATTCTTCATGACAGTGGTCATAGCCATTTAAAAAATGGAAAAAATGTCATGATAGATTGTAGTTACGAGCTCATGAAGCGAAAGGGCATACGTCAAGAGCTCAGCAATCGTCCTAGTACAAACATTTCTTTGAGGTCCAACAAAATAGGATCTTTAGATGACTTGATCAAGCAGGTGCATAGAGACATTGAGGCGTTGAGATTCTATGGTAAGAATGGTAACTTAAAATGTGAATTGCAAGACTACTTGCCCAAAATGCTTGAAAGTGATATCTATAACCAGGAACCTGACTTAAATAGCATGTGGGACTTGGGATGGAATGAGCCCACATTCGTGTTTCTTGAAAGAGAGGAGGTTGTAAGGGGTGTGGAAAAGTATGTTCTGAGTGGACTGCTCGATGAAGTCACAAGAGACCTTGTACATGTCTATCTTTTGATGAAAGGAAAGGGCAGAGAAATTTGAGAAGAAAAATGGTTCAAAGTTTGATGCAATTTGTTGATTTTGAAACTTCCAAGTCTAATGATGAACATATTTAACTCAACTTGTTGGTTTTGGAATTGTAATAGATAAGTTATAGCAGTGTTCTTGAAATTCTGCAAGTCAAGAATGTTCATATTTCTTATTTTGCTTCTCTCTTCTAAGGTAGAAGCGAAACCCACCGCTAGCATATATTGTTCTCTTTGAGCTTTTCCTTCCAAGAAGAGGTTTCTACACCCTTATAAAGAATGCTCCGTTCTCCTCTCCAACCGATATGGGATCTCAAAACTCACCCCCTTCGGAGCCCAGAGTCCTCGTTCGCACTCGTTCCCTTCTCCAATCGATGAGGGACCCCCCAATCCATTCCCCTTTGGGGCCCAACATCCTTGTTGGCACACCGTCTCGTTTCCACCCTCCTTCACGGCTTAGCCTCTTCATTGGCACATCACGCAATATCTGGCTCTAATACCATTTGTAACAGTTCAAGCTCACCACTAGCAGATATTGTCCTCTTTGGGTTTTCTCTTTCGGACTTCTCCTCAAGGTTTTTAAAAAGCATCTGCTATGAAAAAGTTTTCATACCCTTATAAATAATGCTTCTTCCTCCTCCCGATGAGGTTGAAAACAGATCATGCCCAATTTCTACACTTAGATGACATCGATGATCAATACCCATCATTGAAATCAAGCCATTAACTACATTTAATATAGAAAAAGAAGAAATAAATGAACGAATAGTGTTTTGTCTTTGATTGGAACCGATCGACAGTTGTTTAATAGTTCGGAAAATCAAGGAAATGCGGAAATAAGTGAACTCAATCGGATAGCTTACCTTGGCGTGATAATGGAACAAAGGATCAATGCTTCAAAACAACGTTCCTTTTCCTGGTTCAGAAAGTATTGAGAAAACCCCATGAACGACAAATTAGTCAATAGAACTACAGCTCCGATCAGAGAGAGACGTACCGTACATAGCCCGTTGGATTCAAAAGGTGTCTTATATACCAATGGATCAGATTCAAAGTCCAACGGATCAGATTCAAAGTCCAATGGATCAGATTCAAGTTGCTTCATCGCCAATTAATCCCACGATCGTAAAGCTCGCTCTCCTTTATGCTTTGATCATAAAGTAGTGACCATTATTTAACAAGTAATTGAGAATCTAACCTTTTCCCCACGGCGAGTTTTCATGTAAATGCTTTGCTTTCTCACAGCTGAAAGCACCCACAGAAATGAGGTCACGTTTGAGCGATGGGATCCCTAATGTTGCTTAATAGCTAAGTAAAAGCTTAGAATTTTTTTGTTTTTTTTAGATATTTTATTATTTAATTTATTTTAGTGCGATATATAAACAATGTGATTTTTTTATAATTTGTTGCTTGACATTTTGTTACCGATTACTAATAAAAAAAAATATTACTTTTGAAAAATTAAACAAAGTAGATTAACTTTTCACTGTATTTTCAAAATATAAATTAAGTTTATTCATAGGTGAAAAGTAGAAACTCCTACTTTTACATTAAACTAAAAAGTGTGAATAAAATTTACAAGAATTTGGGACTAAATTTAAACTTAAAGTAAATGATTTGTGAAAATATTTACTTTATCTAAATAAATTTTTCTATAACAACTAATTTAATAATTTAAAATGTAGCTAATATAGCATGATAGAAAGTGATTTAAATAAAAACAAATAAAATGTATTTCAAAAAAATTGGATTAATTAAAGTATATTTTCCAAAAATGATATTACTTGAAAATCTTCAAAATATGTAATAAATAAATAAATTTATAACTAATAGATTAAGTTTTAAATATAATACAACTCCAATTTACCATTCAAATTAATTGTTAGAAGGTAAATTATAATAATTTTTTTATTAAAAATATCTTTTAAATTACAAGATAAACAACACTAATAACATTAAAAAAAAATTAAAAGAAAATCTTTATTATAAAAAGGGTGTTTATTTAATTTTCGGCCCACAAAATCCAATCGCAAATGCAAGTTGGGCAACGGTCAAGAAAGAAAGGGCATTTCGGTCATTCACAAAAACATGGACAATAATTTTTTTTCTTTTTTTAATTTTTCATTGATTATTATAACATCGACGTTACTATAGCAAAGCCCTCCACGACTCCCGCCAGCTTCCATTCCACTTCCACTCCCACTTCTCTAACGGTGCAATACATCATTTACTGCCCTCGTCGGGCAGCCCGTTTTTCAAAAAGTTAGAGGGCCCACTGAATATTCATTTTACAATATTACCCCTGTCCTCTTCCCTGCTTCTTCATTTATTTATCTTCTCATTCCTCTGCGTCCCGCCTCCAACATATTACAAGCTTTCAATTCAACAGCCATGGCTACCGCTCTTCTTCGTTCCACTGCTTTCTTCTTCGTTTACTTTCTGCTGATTTTTAACATTGCCGGTAAGTTTCTGTTCTTAATTTTTCATTTTTTGTCATCTCTGAATCTTTTATCATCTTCAGTCGCTTGGTTTGATCTTCCATTTTGTGTGCATGCAATCTACAAATCTGATTTTCTGGTAATGTTTATTTAGAATTTGAATTGGTTTCTTTGTGAATTTTTTCGTTGCGTCAATCTTTTGGAACATTGATTGTGATTGTAATGAGATTCTAGAACAGGGGAAAGAAATTGAAACAAAGAAAGAGGATGTGTGAATGTTTGATTAATCCACCACACCTAAATGGTGTGAAAGTTATCTTATTTATAATCAAATAAATTACAAGGATATGGAAATAGTAATAAATGGAAATAACAATAAATAGAAAGATACCTATGATAATAAGGCAAATATTAATATTTGTCTTATAAAATGGAAATAACAATAAATAGAAAGATACCTATGATAATAAGGCAAATATTAATATTTGTCTTATAATAAAATATCAAATATAATATATATGGTAAACTATAATTTATTGCTAAATATCCTTAACACCCCACCGCAAGCTAAGCGTCGGATTTAAACGAACGTGAAGCTTGAATCTGAAAAATTCAAAGAGGTTGAGAAACACTTTTCATGAAGATGCTAACAACCCGAATTTGATTTGACGGGAGAAGGACCCCAAAGATCACAATGAATAAGATCTAACACATGAGACGACCTACGTTCTTGGCCATCAAAAATTGCAAAGGGATCGCCGCTCAGCGGCGATGCTGCCTTGGCTTCGGCGAGAATATGTCTAACCCATGAAGAGGGATTGTTGCTTAGCGACGATGCTTCCTTGGCTCTGGTGAGAATATTTCTAACCCCAAGAAGTAGAAGGGGAAACCTAGAGCAAGGGACAAAGACAATGTTGAAGCCGAAAGAGTCGCCACATTGGGCGAAGGAGCCAATTTTGGCGAGAAGGGCAGTCGGAAGAGTCGCCTCATCGGGCGAAGAAGCCAATTTTGGCAGGAAGGGTGGCGGCAACTTGGTTGGCGAATAGGCCAGTGTGGCACCCAGATTCCGAAGGTAAATCTCTGCAAAGGTTGATAGGTTTAGGTTAGGGTTTATGTGAAGGATGAAGGTTGATTGGAAAGAAAATGAGAGAGACTATATTGGCCAAGGGGAAAACCGATTGGGTTGGAAAAGGTGAGGTTGTATGTATAGAGTATGACGAAAGGTGATTTGGAGGTCAATAGGATGGAGCCGAAGAGTAATCAATCGGCTCCGACTACGGCAGCCATGAAGACTGCCCATGCGGCGTCAAAACCAGCCGGGGTGGTGGAGAAGAAGATTAGAGGATTCAAAAGCCCATTGAAAAGAAAGAATCGGGGTTGTTAAACCGAGAGGGCTCTGATACCATGTGAATGTTTGATTAATCCACCACACCTAAATGGTGTGAAAGTTATCTTATTTATAATCAAATAAATTACAAGGATATGGAAATAGTAATAAATGGAAATAACAATAAATAGAAAGATACCTATGATAATAAGGCAAATATTAATATTTGTCTTATAATAAAATATCAAATATAATATATATGGTAAACTATAATTTATTGCTAAATATCCTTAACAGGATGGTAAATCTTCGAAAAAGGAATCGAAAGAATTGTTTGATTACCTTGAAATTATCATCGCGCGAGCGGAATTTTTTATTTGAAATGCTTTGTTATTCAGATTCGCAATCGTTCATCGGAATCAATTACGGTGAAGTCGCCGATAACCTTCCTCCGCCTTCAGCGACGGCGAAGCTGCTTCAATCCACTTCAATCGAGAAAGTTCGACTATATGGTGCGGATCCGGCAATCATCAAAGCCCTAGCAAACACAGGGATCGGAATTGTAATCGGCGCTGCGAACGGTGATATTCCAGCCCTAGCATCCGACCCGAATTTCGCCAAAAATTGGGTTAACGCCAATGTAGCCCCCTTCTCACCGGCGAGCAAAATTATCCTCATCACGGTCGGGAACGAGGTGATAACCTCCAATGATCAAAATCTAATGAATCAGCTCGTGCCGGCAATTCAGAACCTTCATAACGCTCTGAATTCGATGTCTCTGGGTGATATTAAGGTTTCCACTGTGCATTCCATGGCTGTGCTCCGCCAGTCAGAGCCGCCGTCGTCGGCGCTCTTCCACCCGAACTATATGAGCGTATTGAAGGGGCTATTGGAGTTCAACAATGCCACTGGATCCCCATTCACTATTAACCCATACCCATACTTCGCCTACCGGAGCGATCCGCGGCCGGAGACTTTGGCATTCTGTCTTTTCCAGCCCAACGCCGGCCGACTCGACACGAACACCAATATCAAATACATGAACATGTTCGACGCTCAGGTGAGTTCATCGATCTTCGAGCCTGTTCTGATTTGTTTGTTCTTGGGATTTTCAGCTATTTATATATCGAATTTCCAGTGGGATTTAATTACGCCCGTACACATTGGAAAAAATATTTATTTCAAATAAATTGACATTACAATGAAAATAAATAGTGGGTGAAAATGATTTTAATGATATATTTTAAGATCAAATAAATAATAACATTTATAGGTCATTGGTTAATTTCATGAAATTGATATTTATTTTAACTTTATATCAGGTGGATGCCATAAGATCTGCGTTGAACTCCATGGGATTCAAGAACGTAGAGATTGTGGTTGCGGAGACTGGCTGGCCGTACAAAG